ACCTCCACCCTCTTCATTTCAATTCCATACATTTAGGGTTGTTTGGGCTCGGGTGTGCTGCAACAATTTTACATCTTTGTTGACCATAGCCACCTGGGACTCAATTTTATTGTACACCTTAGACATTCATTCATAACATCCTCATGACATTCATATATAGGAATTTGAAGTGGGCACATGGCTATGGGTGGTGGGATGACCTTACTCTCACCCCTTGTGCCTGTGCTCACTTACAACGGTTACATTTAGACACTAGGGTTTGGATAGAGTTGGGGTGGAGGGGAAACTGGCACCTTGCCAGCCTTTGCTCCTTCTTCTTTCCTTTTTAATGGCACTCTACAACAACACACATCAACAGCACATCTAGGGGTGGGGGTGTATGTGTCGGGGTCTTATTTTTATTTATTTATTTATTTTTTTTCTCCTCTTCCTACCCACCTAGTTCCCTGACTGCCATTCCGGGGGTGGGGTCCGGGAGAAGGGCAGGCCGTCGGGTGTTGACCAGGACTATGTGGGGGTTCAGGGTCTGGGGGTTGCCATGGGCGGTGCTGGCGCTGTGCTCTCCCTGGGGTTGTTTGGACCCCCTGAGCTTGGCTCTTGGGTGCCATGGTTGGCCCGCTGACAGGGGTGGCTGCCGGGGCCTGGCGGGCGGTCGGCTGGGGGTGCATGCTTGGTTGTTGGCGGTGTGTGGGGGTGGTTGGTGGCATGTCCTCTTCATGGTGGGGGGGTGTCCTGTCGGCGGGGCATGGCCTGGGCCGGTTCTGGGGTATTGGCTCTTCTCCGCTCAAGAATGAATGGGTTTACCTCCTGGGTTTGGGCATGGGCTGCCCCCTGTAGAGGGCGGGTACATGTCTTGGACCTGGGGGGTTTAGAGTGTGTATCGGGAATAAGAATGAAATGTATCGTTATTGTATGTCTTTGAGTGAATGAATATGAGATTGAGGTTGGGATAGTGTGATTGTGTCTGTGTATGAATGGATATTTGTTAGGCCAAGACTCGGACTGCCCCCTCTTTGATACAACTGGGGGTGCTTGGCATCGCGCCCCTATCGCGCGGCCCCCTGGTGGGGTGTGCCCTTGCCTGCCGGTGCGCTTGGGGCCCTTGGTATCGGGGGCTGGGCGCTTGGGCGTGTGTCGGCTCGGCCTGGTGTCTGCCTGGTGGGGCTCGGGTCCTCTGGCCCTGTCAGGCCTTGGCCTGGGTGGTGTGAGTCCTCGGTGCCCGGGCCTCGGTGCCTGGACCTGGACCTACATCGGTGCGGCGGGTGCCGACGGGGGCCTATGAGTTTGTCGCTGTTGGCCCCGGGGGGTCACTGTATGTGGTTGCTGGTGGGGATCTTCCGGTTCTCCCCTGTGGTCCGTTCTGGGGGGTGGGTGAGTGGTTCGTCCTATGTGGGTGGCTCTGGGGGCTCTGCGGTCGGGGTCCCTCCTGGGGTCTTGGACTCTGGTCCCCCCTTTTTCGTCTGCCTCTGGTCTTGGGGGTCGGGTCTCTGCTGCTTCACAGTTACTAATAAATGTTCTATTAGAGAAGCCTTATACACTTATGCATGCTCACAACCACACACAAATAGAAGCAGGGATGTTTATGTAGGCTTTATATGTAGATATATAGATATGTATGTGAGTGTATATTCATGTGTATGTATGTATGTATGTATATAGGCGTAGGTATGGGTATATATATTTATGGAAACTTACTGCAAAGCCATGAATATTTTAAGTTCTTTATACATATGTATTTTGTTGCTGTGTTTTGTCATGTTCTTTGCAGGTGAACAGACAGTGGCCGGGTGTTTTGACGTGTGCTCTATTTGTATATATTTCTTATATTTTGGAGTCTTACTTTGTCTTTTCTTTCTTTCTATCCTATTAAAAAAAAAAAAAAAAAAAAAAAACCTACACTAGATAGTCACTATAATAAATATTTCATAATAATGGTGTGGAGAGGATGGCTGTAAGGGGAGAAGGGAGGCCATCAAAAAAAAAAAAAAAGTTATGACGATGTTGAGTAGCTTACTCTCACAAAAGATGCAGATACCCACAATGTGGATGGAACAGATGATTGTTACTATGCACAAAGACATCTTCTGCAGACATATGGCATGGAAGAAGGCGATGCATTTTATACTGTGGTTTGTTTTTTTTCACAGTTTTTCATCTTAATGGACTTAAATGTTCTGTGACTCCTGTTTAGAAATAGCCCATTTTAATGTTATGCATAGGTACCAAATATGTATAGATAATGTTTTCAGTTTTATAATGTCGGGTTGACAATACATTTTTGAGGGGAGAGTGTGGCAAAGGTTAAATTTCAGTGCTATTTGTGAAATGTGGACACACCCCTCAATATGTGTATTTTATTGTATGTTTGATTTATAAGCAATAGTTGATATTTAGTCTGTATTTTAACTTGGAGATGTTCAAAACCTCAAGGTTACACTTTGTATGTAGTGGCACTTTTACACCACCAGAGGGCAGCACTTGTGGTGAGTTGAATGTTTGTGAGTGCATATAAAGAGAAGAAAAAAAAGTTTTGCTTGGTGTGAATCAGTGTTGCCAGGTGTACGATAATTTTCGTATTTGTACGACAATTTTGCCCTCTGTACGATGTACAATCAATAGTCCCCAAAAAGGCCAAATATATGATAATTTGACCATTCCGTGAATGTGTGGTTGTAATTGGTTGTCATCAGCCTCTCACAACTGTCTGTCTGAGTTTTATTGTGAACCTGGAGGCATCTGTGTCCGCAAACAGATGCACGATTGGCCAGCCAATCGTGCTTTTCTAAATGTTACCTACGAGTGACGTGTATGCGTTTGCCTCGGAACAACGGCCATGATTGGCTGAATAGTCCGCTGTGCCCACCCCATGAGTGAGGAAAAGAAAACAAGAAGAAGCAGAGCTTGTCTGGAAGTGGGCCCATCACTACTATAGTGCATCAATAGATTTGCTATTTTGGTTATGACGGGTGTACGATAATTTCCCTAAAAATGCAATAATTTTATGTCGCTAGTACGATAATCCTACATTTTTCACCTGGCAACACTGGTGTGAAAGCTGTGTGCCATGTGGTGGAAATAAAACCACCTGAAAATCACCAGACATCCTCCTTCTGCTTAGAAAGTGCAACATGTACTTATATAGCTCCTTTCTATCTAATCAAGATACTCAAAGCACTTTACACTACCATCTGTGCCCTCATTTACCCATTCATACAGCACTCTACAAGATCTATACAAAGACTAATCAGTGCTTTAATCACATTCATACGAATGGGACGCACACTTGGCATGTGACTGCTGGTGGAATCGAAACCCCAACTCTTGCATTGAAGGATGCCACAGCCGCCCCACAACGTGAAGGTAGCATCATGCTGTGCTAATATTTATTATTTTTTATTCACACAGAACAAGATGATTAGTCATATTTTGGATTTTAGTGGCACGTTTGTTTCCCAAGGATCTGTGTCTGCTTAGTTTCTGCTTTCAGGTCTTTCATGCCATTTTGTTCTCATGAGGAAGTTCATAAATGCTGACATTATATAGTATGTATGTGAGTTCATACAATGCATATTTATAAAAATATAATAACAAAATAAATATGTGGCTTTATTTTTAAGAACTACAGTACTTGATATTTATGCAAACAGCATGGAGCCTAAAGAGCTGCTTATTATAATTGCTCCTCTATATAATTCCTCACTATTATAAAATGACTATCTCCTGATTTTATTTATACCAACAATACTGAACTGGAAAACAATTAGGCACATATGTTCATAGATTAAAGCAGCTGTTTACTTTTTTATATCTCTTAACTGCTTCTACTGTGATCCTCCACCAGATGTCAGCAGTTGTTCAGCTGATCTGAGGTCTGCCTCCCGTTCTGTGTGTGGTCTTGTTGGTGTCCAGCAGCTCTTGTAAACACTGACTTGCTCATTGTGTCCCTCTTGTTGAGTGTGGGTGAAAAGACAGGAAAGTGAGGTGCAATGAGCCCTTAGGTGGGCTGTCTGTACTAATTATCACACTCGGTCCTTCATCAGGGCCCACAGAGTCAACATATCAGCCTCTGTTTGGCGTTTCTCCAGGGAGACAGCAGCTTTGATCTGCTGTTGGAGGCCCTGATTGTGATCTGCTCCACAGACTGACAGGTTACTGAAACTAAGAAGGAAACTGCTGACAGTAAAGCTCTGCTGTCCTACACACAGACCAAAGCTTCAGACCAGAGGTTTGAGCTAAGAACATGTTTCAGCTCAGTATCTGTATTTGACTGAGTTATAGCCATTAACGTTTTTGCTAGGTCAATTAGCTGTGGCAGCCATCTTGAATTGGCTTGACTTCAAAAGTTAAAGATTTGTAGATGTATGTTGTTATTAAATTCTGAAAGTTTGGTTAGATTGTAAATTGCTGGATTGTATACCTGGATTATTGAGCATGGACTTTTTATTTTTGGTTAGAATTATATTTTAAAAAGGACTGTACTTATACAGCGCCTTTCTATCTGATCAAAATACTCAAAGCACTTTACACTACAATCTGTGTCTCAGTTACCCATTCATACAGCACTCTACTAGATCTCTACAAAGCTAATGAACAAATCATTCTAAAGAGACTAATCAGAGCTTTATCACATTCATACACTGATGGGACACACATCAGAGGCTATGAGGGGTTCAGTGTCTTGCCCAGGGACACTTCAGCATGTGACTGCTGGTGGATTCGAACCTCCATCTCTCGCATTAGAGGATGACTGCTCTAACCCCTCAGCCACAGCTGCCTGTGGTTCATGAAGTATTTTGTTAACAGACAAACAGGTTTGATGCAAAGAGTTGTTGACAGAGTTTTCAAGGATTCAAGATTCTTTATTGTCATTCGCACCACATGTGGTACATGAGGTGGAACAAAATTGTGTACATAGGGTCCCAGTTACATCCAACAATAGCAAAAATACAAAGTTTAAAAAGAAACAGTAAATAAGAATCTAAGATATAAACTCAAGATATACACTAAACAAATGCCCAACGGTACACTAAAAGATCTAAGATATACACTAGTCACTATTAGTGCAAAACAATACACCAAACATCTAAAAAAGTTAAATCTGATCCTCTGGACATTCAAAAAACAAAACAAAGCAAAACAACAACAAAAATGTAGAAAAGTTTCGTCTTTCATCCGAAAGACTTCCTCAGTCTGAGGTGCTGTATTCAGCTCAGTCTTATAAATAGCACCTTCTCAGAGTGGATCAACCAGTCCAATACACCGAACAACAGAAGAACGATTCTCATACGTTCTGTTCGGCTATAATTTACACGCTTAATGCGAGCGGGGTTGGGCTCAGAGCCCCAAAACTAACATAAACTGGGATTTATTCAAAGCATGCAACAAAAACACAGAAACAAGGCGTCAAAAGTGAAAAAGAAATAATCTACAGCAGCATGGTCCTATTCAGTGGTGGGTGTAAGTAAGTACAAGTACTTTGTAACTGAACTTAAGTACATTTTTCATGTATCTGTACTTTACTTAAATAGAGTTAAATGTGGGTACTTTCGACTTTTACTCCACTACATTTTACATTAAGTATCTGTACTTTCTACTACACTACGTTTCCATCTTTTCAATGGACCAAATCCCCTAACCATTGGTTACTTTCAAACTATCCATCCATCCATTATCTTTACCCGCTTACTCCATTTTGGGTCACGGGGGTCACCGGTGCCCATGTCCAGCAATCACTGTGCGAGGGGCGGGGTACACCCTGGACAGGTCGCAAGTCCACAACAGGGACACATAGAGACAAATGAGACAAACAACCATTCACTCTCTCACTTACACCTAGGGACAATTTAGAGTTACCAATCAGCCTAACATGCATGTTTTTGGTCTGTGGGAGGAAACCAGAGTACCCGGAGAAAACCCATGCATGCACGAAGAGAACATGCAAACTCCACCCAGAAAGGCCCCTGGACCGGGGTTTGAACCAGGGACCTGCTCGCTGAGAGGCAGCAGCTCTACCAGTTGCGCCACCGTGCTGCACTTTCAAACTAACAAACAAATAAAAAAACAAAACAATGCAATGTGAATGTAACTTGTAACACAATACATTATAGAGATTCAGAGATTCTTTGTTGTCGTGAACAAAATTGTGTACACAGGGCACCAGTTACATCCAACAAAAGTATAAATTGTAAAAGAAAAACAGTAATAAGATCTAAGATATGAACTAAGAAATAACGTTAACTAAAAATAGACTAAGCCAAACAGCAGCATGAGCATGAGTGTGAGTAGATGAGCACGAATGAACACAGTAAAATGAAACAGATCAGCAGCAACATGAAATAGATCAGTAGCAACATGATGTGATTATTCACAGTGATTATTCTAGTTGAAGATTAATGAGTCTAATAGCCTCAGGGAAGAAGCTGTTCCTAATCTAGCGGTTCGACACTTAATGCTCCTTAACCTCCTTCCTGAGGGGAGCGGGGGAAAAAGTGTGTGTGCTGGGTGAGTGGGGTCCTTCATGATGCAGGTGGCCCTCTTCCTGCATCTGGAGGTGTAAATGTCCGTGATGATGGGGAGGCTGACTCCAACAGTCTTCTGTGCAGCCTTCACCACTCTCTGCAAAGCTTTTTTTTCTGCAGTTGTGCAGCCTCCATGCCACACGTTGATGCTGGGGCACAGGATGCTCTCCACTGCACACCTGTAGAAGGAGGTGAGGACTGAGCTTCCCAGACCAGCTCTTCTCAGCCGTCTGAGGAAGTAGAGTCTCTGATGAGCTTTCTTCATCAGGCTGGTGGTGTTGTTGCTCCAGCTGAGGTCATTCAGGTGCACACCCAAGTACTTGGAGCTGGAGACCACTTACACCACAGATCCTCCTATGTTTGGGGGGTTGGAGGGGTGGGGGTGGGGGGGGGGATAGGTATGTTTGTTTCGTCTGAAGTCCACCACCATCTCCTTTGTTTTCTTCACATTGATATGAAATTTGTTCTTCCTACCCCAGCTCTCCAGGTGTTCCACCTCCTGCTTGTAGCTGGACTTATCATTGTTTTGTGATGCATCCCACCACCGCTGCATCATCTGCAAACTTTACAATATGACAGCCTGGATGGGTAGGTGCACAGTCGTACATGAGCATAATGAACAGGAGAGGGCTGAGCACACAGCCCTGAGGGGAGCCAGTGCTGAGGATTATGATGGAGGAGGAAAAGTTGCAGATCCTCACAGACTGTGGTCTGTTTGTTAAGAAGTCCAGGACCCAGTTGCAAATTGGGGGGCTTAGTCCTAGTGTGAATATTTTGTCCATCAGGGTTTGTGGGATCATGGTGTTGAAGGCAGATGTGAAGTCCACAAAGAGCATATGGACATAGGAGTCCTTCTGCTCCAGATGGGTGAGAGCAGTGTGGACCCCAGAGGAGATGGCATTTTCTGTTGATCGATTCAACTACTGGTGAGGGTCCTCGCTGATGTTAATGGTTGTTTTGATGTGGGTCAGGACCAGTTTTTCAAAGCATTTAGTGACTATCAGGGTGAGGGCTACTGGCCTTTAGTCATTCAGACCAGTCACTGTACAACATGGTACTGTTAGTTGAGTGGTCTTGTTAGCAGCATTAGCAGGTTTTGTTAGCAGGTCCTTCAGCAGCCATGATGATACCGTACCAGCTGTCTCCCTGACTGTCCTCCAGAACTGAGTACGCCAGATGGGAAACATCTAAGGTTTCCCCACAGAACTGAACGTGTCCGTAGAGTTCGGTCCATGCAGGCAGATAGAGGATTATGGAGACAGCCACCATGACAGGCTTGAGCCAGAGGCTGGAAGGACTGAACCAAGATGGCACGATGGCAAGGCAGTGACACAGAAAACTTTGTAAGTGTGTTGCAGTCATACCCGTACCGTGGATGTACTTTGTAGGTGCATAAATAAAGTTAAAAACAAAAACTACAGGAACAAAAAAAGATCAAGTTCACCGGGAGCATGTGAAGCTGCGGCTCAACTGAGCGCGACCATCTAGGTATCTTGGCTTTAATCAAAAACCAGTAAATGATGTAATGGTCAGAGATTGAACCAGGCATTCCACTGTTCCCTCTAAGCTGCAAGATGAAAGTTTTTTTTCCTTGTAACACATTTGTAAAGAATTCACACAAGACGAGCGTAAGTTCCTGATAAGAGCCTCTGCAGAGGTGGGAGTTCTGCTCGACCAAACGTCAAGAGAAGAAGTCCGACGTTCCGCCTGTGACGCTCGTATTTTATTAGACAGAGTGGGGTGTGAGAAACAAGGCACAAATCAGCTGATACAGCTTATCCGACACAGCGGAGACACAAAATATGATTAAACCATAGACAGTTTGATACCAAAAGGCAGGATAGCAGGATAGCAAGGTCAGAACTAAATAACAGCCATGGTTGTTTAAAAACCCAAGGTCTGTGGTCTTAGTACACACACACGAGCTGTAAACAAAACTCTGGATGTTTGGTGTTTCAGCTGGGCTTCAGTTCACACAGCTGGAGAGTAAGAAGTCTAAAACAGTTTTAAATTATAACATTTTTTTAATTTATCCAACACTGCATGCCTGCGCAATCGTGTACTGCTCGCACATTGTCTGCGCACAAGAAAACCTATGCAGTGCACAAAATAAAATTCAACATAAACTGTAAATTAATTAGACCAATAACATTTTTTCTGTACCTTTTTGCAATGTAATTCAGTGAGTGACAGGTGTGCAGCCAGTGAGACTAAACTTACATAAATGAAGGTTGGATGAAAAAATGATAGGATACGGTTCACTTCCGCTATGCAGTCAAAGCCAATCATAACATTGACAGTGCTTGCATTATGCAAGTTAGGGAACATACACAAGTTGCCTTGCACATAAGGGCCGTGGTGCTGTGCAGGTAAGCTAGGAAACAACAAAGAGGCAGAGTTAATAGACGCAAATGCTAAACCCTTATCAAGGCAAAACCGACGGGCAGAAACACGTCCACTCACCAAGCCAAAATAAAAAAGAACTGTGGTTCAATTTAAGATGGAATGGCTGTCAGAGTATGTACAAACAGAAGAACAAGTGGTGAAACTGGGCGAGAAATACTGGTGAGATTACTCTTTTTATTAGGAAGCTTTGTGATCACATGGATGCTTGTTTTCCAGAGGATGACATAAAGGAGTGGTCTGCATTTGACATTCAAGCATTGAGCTCAGCCATCAGTATTTATTGACAGTGGATCAGCAGACATTGTCACAGTGGCAAAGAAGTAATGAATCATACTAAACAGCATCCAGAAATCATCTTGAAGTAAAGTAAAAGTAAAGTGCTTTGTTGCTTGAAATTAGTCTCTGTATTTAACCCATTGGACCTGGGATACAGCCAGGTGGAGCAGTGGGAGCTATGTAAGCGCCCGGGGAGCAATTGGGATTAGGTGTCTTGCTCAGAGACACCACAACATGAGGGAATGGCTCGGGATCGAACCTGGGACTTTAAAGTCCCAAGTTGGCTGCCCTGCCTTTACCACATCTAAGCCTATTTGGACCAGCCGATGCACATAAAGTCAAAGCAAGAAGCAGACGGAGCCATCAACCTGGACAAAGTGTACAACCATTGGAGAAGTGAGAAGGACAGACATGAAAAAAAAGGTAAAATTGAAGTCACACTTGTGCATATTCTAGTGACATTTATTAAGAGTTTTTATTTATGGATATTAATCATGGCAGCACGGTGGCACAACTGGTAGAGCTGCTGCCTCTCAGCAAGCAGGTCCCTGGTTCAAATCCCGGTCTGGGGGCCTTTCTGGGTGGAGTTTGCATGTTCTCTCCGTGCATGCGTGGGTTTCCTCCGGGTACTCCGGTTTCCTCCCACGGACCAAAAACATGCATGTTAGGCTGATTGGTAACTCTAAATTGTCCCTAGGTGTGAATGAGAGAGTGAATGGTTGTTTGTCTTGTTTGTCTCTATGTGGCCCTGTGATGGACTTGCGACCCGTCCAGCGTGTACCCTGCCCCTTACACAGTGATTGCCGGACATGGGCACTGGCGACCTCCGTGACCCAAAATGGAAGAAGTGGGTAAAAGATAATGGATGGATATTAATCATTAAATGCTGTTACTAGATAATTTATGGGTTGTGTTGGATTTCATGTTTTATCTTTTATTATTATTTTAATCAAGCTTGAAATTTCATGTTATAAAATGTGTGTATGTGTCATTTTTTTTTTAAGGGTTTTCATTCAATCGTTCCACCTTCCCTTGTGATTGGGGGTGGTAAACTGTACCGAAAGCATGTTTCAAACCCAAGGCCTTTTCAACCTTTTGCAGATCTGCATTTTTGAAATGAGTTCCATTATCGGACCTAATTATCTTAGGGAACCCATGTCTGGGGATGTAGTGATTTATTAAACACTTGATTACAGTTTGACTATCCTCCTTTTTAGCGGGCCAGGCTTCTGGCCATCCGGTGAACGCGTCGACGCAAACCAATAGGTATCTGAAACCTCGTACTGGTTGAATCATGTCAGTGTAATCAATTATTACCTCACGACCCGGTGTCATGTCCGTGGGAAACTTTCCTTGTTGACGCGGTTTAAAAGCTGGCTTGGAGTTATACAAATTGCATACCGTGCATTCTTTCACAAACGCTCTGATCAAAGAGTTCATATACAGGTGCCACCAGTTGAGGACATTCCTTTTCATCTGGTGTACCCCTACATGAGCCAGTCCGTGTGCCTCTTCGAAAATTCTCCTCTTCAGGCTCAGTGGAAGTACCCATCTTCCATCTTCAGGGTTTATCCACAATCCATCTGGTCTCTTTTCAGCTCCTCTTTCACTCCACACCGCCTTTTCTTCTGGAGCTGCACCTTGTTGGCAACAGGCGATGGATTCCTCATCCCATCTGATCAGCTCCTCTTCTTCTGGGGTTGTCATCACCATCTGACTCCAGTTGATAAATCCTGAGGCCTTTTTCGCCTCTAAATCAGCTTGACAGTTTCCCTTTGCTATGTTTGATGAATCTGAATCATGACCTCGACATTTCACAATGGCAATTTCTGTTGGTAACATCAGGGCTGTTTCTAGTTCTCTCATATCTGCCTCATGTTTAATAGGTTTACCGTTAGCTGTACGAAAACCTCCTCTCCTCCACTGCGCCAGTTCCACATGCGCTGCACTAAAAGCATACGCTGAGTCTGTGAAGATAGTCACTTTCTTGCTTTCCGCCCACTTTAGTGCTGAAATCAAAGCTCTCACTTCTGCTCTCTGCGCTGACTGAGAACCCTGCAATTTCTCGCACACTACAGTGTGATAACCCTGATCTGTTTCAAGCACGACCGCAAAGCCTGCACTGAGCTGTCCATCCTGTGCTCTGAAACAGCTTCCATCACAAAACATCACCTGTCCCTCTCCAAGAGGTGCAGCTTTTAAGTCTGGCCTGACTCTGTCATCAACTTCCACTCTTTTCTCACAGATATGGGATTCACCTCCTCCTATCCTGTCTGCCATGTTTATTCCCTCATGTGTGAATAACAAGTTCGGTGCTTCCAGGACCTTGTTTATCCTCTGTTGTCTCAATGGTGACATTGTGAAGTTATGTGAATTTACAAAGGCAACCACACTATGAGATGTCAAAACATGCAGTGTGTGTCCCATCACCAAGTGAGCTGTCTTTTGAACTAGCTTAGCCACTCCTGCTGGGTGTTGTGTGCATGGGAGATGTCTCCTTTCTGTGTTGTCCAATAAACAGCTGACATACATCAAAACTTTCCTTCCCCTCACTGAGAGGGATTGTTGGATTTCATGTTTTATCTTTTATTATTATTTTAATCAAGCTTGATTAAAATAATAATAAAAGATAAAACATGAAATCCAACCGTTGTTAAAATCAAGGCTTAATTTGTAAAATGATAACAATAATAAACAATAATGATAACATAAATAGCGGGCGGTCCCAAGAAAATTTGTTTACCTACATTTGTAAACATTTTATTAAATTGAAACAGGTCTCTCTTGTAAATGAGTCCTCGAGGCTCATTGAGACAAACAACCTGTATAAATAAAGGATGAATTGAAATTACTGTTTTAGAGAGCAATAAGAAAAGCCTGTGAATAGAGCAGCTCTGATTCTGTCAAACGTCCTACCCCCCCCCCCCCCGCAACTCAAATCTCCGCCCCTTATTGTCAGTTTTTGTCTGAATTCTCAGAATTCTTAACTGACTTACTATTAAATACTGATAAAATCATCATAATGGGTGATTTCAATATTCATGTGGATGTTGAAAGTGATATCTTAAGCATAGACTTTAATAATTTAATAGACTCATTTGGTTTTACCCAAAACGTCCGCACATCTACTCATGCTTATCATCACACTCTTGATTTAGTTCTGACCTATGGTATAGAGATTAAGGACTTGGTAATAGTTCCTCAAAATCCTGTTCTGTCTGACCATTTTTTAATAACCTTTGAGTTCACATTAAATGACTACACAGTCACTGAGAGTAAATTTCATCTCAGCAGGTGCTTATCAGAAAATGCTGTAACCAAATTTAAACAATCTCTTCCATCAATGTTTTCCTCTGTCTTGCAGAGTAATGCATCAGAGAACAGAGACTTAGATCATCTAGTTGATCATCTTACAACTTCAATACAAACTTCACTTGATAAAATTGATCCACTGAAAAAGAAAGTAATCAGTCAGAGGAAACTGGCTCCTTGGTTCAATTCTGAGTTACGTACTTTAAAGCAGCATCTAGAAACCAGGAGAGAAAATGGCACTCTACTAATGTTGAAGGATTTTATTTAACTTGGAAAGATAGTCTGCTAACATATAAAAAAGCTCTCCGTAAAGCTAGAACTTTATATTACTCATCTTTAATAGAGGAGAATAAAAATAACCCCAAGTTTCTGTTTAGTACTATTGCTAGACTAATTAAAAGTCCCATTTCTGTTGAACCATGTATCCCTACAACTATAAGTAGTGATGACTTCATGAGATTCTTTATAAATAAAATTATTTCAATTAGAGAAAATTCAAACAATCCTTCCTTCTACTATCTCTAGTCCCCTGTCAAAATTTTTTTTTTTTTCATTTAGCCTTTATTTATCCAGGTTAGTCTCATTGAGCCACGAGAACTCATTTTCAAGAGAGACCTGTTTAGGGAGCACATGGTGGGGTTAAGGGCCTTGCTCATGGGCCCAGAGTGGGGCGAATGAGGGTGGGGGCAAGTGTGGGTGTTTCACCTACCCCACCCACAATTTTTGATGTTGTCGGGGCCGGGGCGTGAACCGGCGATCTTCAGATCACAAGCCCACCTCTCTAACCTCTGCGCCACCACTCCCCCAAATGAGGCAACTTTAAAAGTTTCAGTAGAGCCTGATTTATGTTTGGACAGTTTTTGTCTTGTTGAGCTCTGAATTGTCAAAAATAATAACCTCATCCAAACCATCCACATGTCTGCTAGATGCCATCCCAACCAGACTGTTTAAAGAGGTATTTCCCCTAATTAATGTCCACATTTTGGATTTACTTAATTTGTCTTTAATGAATGGTTATGCACCACAGCGCTTTAAGGTTGCTGTAATTAAACCTTTACTTAAGACGTCCGACGTTGATTCAGAAATTCTGTCCAACTATAGACCTATATCTAATCTAACTTTCATTAAAAAAATTCTAGAGAAAATAGTTGCAGGTCAGTTGCGTGAACATCTACAAAGAAATAATCTGTTTGAAGAGTTTCAGTCAGAGTTTAGAGCTCATCATAGCACAGAAACAGCACTAGTAAAAGTCACTAATGATATTCTCATGGCCTCAGACAATGGACTTGTGTCTCCACTGGTCCTGTTAGACCTCAGTGCTGCATTTGATACAGTTGATCACAATATTTTACTACAGAGGCTTGAATATGATATTGGGATCACAGGCACAGCTCTAAAATGGTTTAAATCATATCTATCTGATATATTCCAGTTTGTAAATGTAAATAATAAATCTTCTTCATACACCAAAGTTAGTCATGGAGTTCCTCAGGGCTCAGTGCTTGGGCCAATACTCTTTACTTTATATATGCTTCCATTAGGTGAAGTTATTAAACAGCATGGGATAAATTTCCATTGTTATGCTGATGACACACAATTATATTTTTCCATTAAACCCAATGAATCCAATCAGCTACTTAGACTACAAGCATGTCTTAAAGACATAAAAACCTGGATGACCCTTAATTTTCTCCTGTTTAACACAGACAAGACAGAGGTTTTGGTTTTTGGACCTGAGCACCTTAGGAATGAATTTTTCAGTCTTTCTCCCTCCTTGGATGACATTAATCTGTCCTCCAGCTCTAATGTTAAAAATCTTGGAGTTATTTTTGATCAGGACATGTCTTTTATCCCCCACATTAAAAACGTTACTAGAACCACCTTCTTCCACCTGCGTAATATCACTAACATTAGAAACATCTGATCTGGGCAGTTTAGTTGAACAGTCCTGGTTTAACGCTTGTAACACTGGAGGTAAATTAACTGGCATTTGTAAATAAAATGTAAAGCACAGCTTGGTAAGGTGTCTGCACTGGTGGTGGTGAACGGTGTCAAAGCTATTTTATTTATTTATTTATTTATTTATTTATTTGGTTTGTTTGTTTTTTTTTCCTCTCTTTTCCTTTTTATTTTATTTTATTTTTTTATTTTCTCTTTTACGTTTATCTGTTACCACATCACTTCATCAGTCTTTTTCTCTTCTTCACCAACAAACATTTATGCACAAGCACACCAAAACATACACACGCACACGCACACACACACTCACACGCACACACACTTTATATCTTTCAACTTCTCTCACACCCAGATTCTACTCAATGTTCTTGTATCTTTCCACTTCAAACATCACTGTGTGTTTCTAAACATCTAAACAGGCAATCTCAAGCAAAAACTGTGATTTTAGTTGGATCTGTTTGTCTCTATGGTGACATGCGCTGGTCAACTTTAGCTACTCACGCATGTAGTGAACTAGGCCTGATGTCAAAACCTTGACCTTAGGACCTTATGGGACAGAACTTGTCATTTCATTGATTTGCATCCAGAAATACAGGTTGACCCATCCTGAGACTTTCTTTCTTGAATTAATCAAGTGAAAGAAGACTATTCTCTATTATCATTACCATTTTATGAATGTTTGATAATCAAATTGTGTTAGTTCAAACAATGTTTAAATGTTGAAGTGAACTACTCATTTTTATTAACTGTGAAACAGTAATAATGATTCTTAATCCTCATTCAAAGTGAAATCAAGTTGGAATACGTTACAGAGTAATGATTCAATTTCTTGATCGTCTGTTTGAAGTGAGCAAGTGATGGAAGTTGGTCAAAGTTCAAGTTTCGGTCAACTGCAAGTTACTGAAAAAAGAAATGTCATGTTTAACTTTTACAGCAAGATACTGGAGAAGTGACTCCACGAAGTCTGAATTCTTCATAACAATCTTTTGTCTGTTCTTAAACAATCTTAATCTTTTTCCTTGACTTTTCATAACACCTTACATCACAAAACACACCTCTGTTTGGTCCATTCGACCAATCAGAAAGTTCTCAAATGAACCGGAAGTGACCCTTCTTAAAAGGTGCAGCACTTCCTAGTTACAGCAGTTCCAGAGTTCATGAAGGCTGGAATTCAGGATGCTGCTGAAAGAGAATCAAACTGAACCAGAGAAGATCTGGGAATTATGAAAGTCTGTCCTGGATGATCTCACGACTCTGGAGGTTTAGCTGTTCTTACGGAGACGCTGAAAAGTGGCTCGAAGTGGAACTTTACGCCGGAACTGACATATCTTCAGAAAGGTAAAAGTCGATCTTCAACCAAAGTGTACCGTTGGGATAAGCTGGTCCAAAGGAGCGTGCATGTTCTGGTTAAAACAGACAAATTCCCTCACACATCTCTCTGTAGATAAACTTCATCTTTCCATCTTTAAAATTCTTCTATCTGCAAAAAATCATTCCAGATATTTTTAGAAATGTCTGAAGCAAAGTTTTTCAATCACCGCCGTGTGGTTGACGTTTGTGGTTCTGCTGGAAGTGAGAAAACAATCGCCGTGTTGTTTACTTCCTGTAAAACTGATTAATAAACTGTCGTTATTTTCAATTCTTGCCAATTAATGTAAATGTGTGATGTGTTAAACTTGATTATGTTAATAAATGGCCCACTGTCGTTGGTGAGTCAAAGATAATTAACGTTTCCGTCCACATTTTATTAATTCAGATGCACGTCATTATACAGTCCAGAAAAATGAAAGAATCCGTTTTAACAGTATGAATATATATCAGCATATGTTCTACTACACGCACAACTATGGGCACATTAAGGTTTGTGACTTGGAATGTGAATGGAACCAGTACTCAGCAAAAAAGATTAGGAATTTTAAACCAGCTTAAAAGATTACAGGCAGATGTCTTTTTACAAGAGACTCATAAATCTATTACAACTGCAGATGATCTTAAATCATATGACATTCCTGATGTGTTTTGTGCCTGTTATAACTCAAGATAAAGGGGAGTGGCAATATTAATACACAAAAATGTTAATTTTACAATATTAGACACAGTTTGTCAAGTGTTGTGCATTTCAGGTGAGGTATTAAGTCAGTTTTCATGACCTAAAATAAGGCTGAGCACAGTATAAATCACAGAGCCCTGAGTATGTGTTCTGGAAAAGCAAGAAAGGTTTATTTACTGTAACAAATCTAAATAATAGTATGGAACAGTGTGTAAAGTCTTTCTAATATACTATGTGTTAAGAGTGTGAACTTTAAATGATTAAGAATAAATGAATTAGTTACTGACTAAAAGTGAATATAATTGATGGTCAAGAGGTCAAGTTACCAGCTTAATGTTCGTGTGTGTCAAGTCACCACAAGAAGAGGAAGTCTGATCAGATGGCCAGGCCAGTAGGAAGAAAAAAGAGGAAGCTATCTGTAGAAAAAGAGGAAGCTATCTCCAGAAAACAGGAACGAGAAACCTTAAGTGAAGAGGCTCTCTCTGAAAAAGAGGAAGCTCTCTGCAGAAAAACAGGAAGATACACCTAGTGGCAGTTGAAGATAATTTAGCAATGACAGTGACGTTGAACATGTGATCTGACGTTGTAGAATAGTCCGTATCCAAGACTGTTGCTATGCATAAATTATGCAATGAGCAGACAAATGTATAAAAACGCTCAGCATTAACGATCGGGGCTGAAGCACTCGGAGAGTTTTAAAGGACAGTTCATTGACGCCTTCATTAACTAAAGGGAACTTGAAGATCCGAAGAGGAAAATAATTTTTCTCAGCTCAGCCCGGACCTGAAAGCCAACTCAAGTTTCCAAGATTGGATTTTATTGAAGGCAGTATGAAATATTCTTCAAAAGCAACTGAGGGATGATTGTCACCAGCTTCAACATTCAAGGATCCCCTTTGACAAGGGGTCTTTGAGAAGAGATGGTATGACACATACTAATAGCTGTCCTAAAATAAAATTAAATAATTAAAATCGCTTATAGCTATATATTCTAGTAGAATGTCAGGACTCTTGACAACATTTTGAGTTATTGGGATTTACTCATTATATTAAATTTGGTATTTTTAAAGTCGTAATTGATACAATTTAGGAGAGTTTCCCCATTTTTGCTGCATTATGGAATTCTGAAGATGCCTTTGTATTTTTATTTTTCTCCTTTTTGTTTGATAGTTTTTGAACACACTTTAGATTTTAACTTTTTTAATTTTTTATTTTTCCAACTAAACTTAATTTTTGATATTTTATTCCGAAGGATTCTGGGAACACAAGGTAAACTCGAGATGCCGGCTGACGGCTCATCAAGTCCAGTAACGATCTTGGGTTTCTGAGTGTTCTCTGGGGTCTCGGAGCAGAAAAAGTCTTCCCCTGAACCTAATCACCTTACCTTACTTTGGCTCAACAGACCTGAGCCATAGGATTAGTTTTGAGACCCGTTGGAGGAGAGGCTGCAGTGAGGGCGTGGCACGTGCCCTGTGCCTACCTCGCTCGGATAGCAAAACAAGTTACAGACCCAGAGGGTAGATATTTAATAATAAAACTTTGTATAAATAACTACAAGCTGTGTATTGTCAGCATATATGTCCCAAAATGAATTGATAAACTCTTTTTCAAGAGTTTCAGATTACTCTATAAACTGGATAAAATCCACAGTTCTACCAATTAATTGCTATTTCAACAATTCACTTACTACACAACTGCAGTCAGGGAATATTACGTACTTGGGTATCAAAGTCTTTCCTAGACTGGCAGATTTAACAAAACTAAACCACATCCCACTTTTAAAGAAAATTGAGGATGATCTTGCTAGATGCAAATCTCTACCCTTGTCTCTCATGGGAAGAATTGCTACAATAAAAATGATGGTTTTGCCTAAAATAAACTATATTCTCATTGATTCCAAATAAACCATCTGACTGGTTTAGATCACTGGACTCCTCCATCTCTAAATTTCTCTGGAAAGATAAACCCCCCACGTATAAAACTAAAAACATTACACAAGACCAAAGATAAAGGAGGACTAGAGCTACCCAATTTCTATTATTACTTTCTAGCCAACAGGCTAGAATACATCTCAAGATGGAAAAAACTCCCACCCCTTGATGAACCCTGGCTAGATGTAGAACAGACCCTTTGCAATAATATAATGATCTCAGACCTTCCATTCATTGGCTCAAACATAAAACGACAGGAATGCTTTAAAAGCATCAATATCAGCTCCTCTCTGACAGCTTGGTGGGAGTTTCTTAAAATGACAGAGTCTTCACTAATTCCATGCAGACGTACACCCATCTGGAACAACCCTGACATCCTACAACAGAATAATATGATAAACTTCCCAGGTTGGAGGTGTAAAGGAATAGAATATTTGGAACATATATATGAGGACGTAAACTATATGCCATTTAACAGATTAATAACACAATATGGGATTGATAAGAATAAATTTTTAGAATATCAACAAATCAAATCTATAACAAAAAATAAATTTAACCTTAATAACACTAGGATTGAAATACCAACAAGAGTATTAGAATTCCTAAATCTTAACCCTCCCAAATTACTATCTAAGGTTTATCGGACACTTATTAAAATAGATGAATCAATATCCCTTCCCATTGTAAAATGGGAGACAGACTTGTCAGTCAACTTTGACCAAAACTTCTGGTCTCAGATATGTCTAAGAACTTTTAAGATGATTAAAAACCCCAATTTACAATTAATACAATACAAAATCCTTCATAGAGTACACTACACAGGTCAACGGATGTTCAGGATGGGTTTCACATCATCTAATGTTTGCTCACAGTGTACAAACAATATTCCTGACAATCACATCCACGCATTTTGGTTCTGTCCACCTGTTCAGAGGTTTTGGTGCCGGATATGTGAAGACTTATCAAAGTGTCTGAGATGTAATATTCCACTCTCTCCGTCAGTTTGCTTATTGGGCCACTTAGATGATGTCACCTTGGAGACAAAGTCAATTCACATGATTTTTACTGCTTTATGTATAGCAAAAAAATCTATACTCATAAATTGGAAAAATAAAAATACTCTTAGTATTAAACAGTATAAAGACCTTTTGTTAGATTACATCAGTCTTGAGACAACCTGTACCTCCACATCAGAACAATCTCTCTGGGCTTCTTTGATAGGCTTCAACCTGTAGTGGAGGTGGGTAAACCCCTTTGATTTTGTCCCGTGGGGCATTGTGGTTGATGTGGGGGTGTATCGGGGCTGGGGGCATGGGGGGGTCGTGGGCCCGGGGCAATGGCGCTCAAATGGGGAGATTGCTTTGGTGGTTCTGGGCGTGGACCTCTGCTGGCTGCATGCAGGCCTCTGGGCGGTCTGTGCCGGCGGGCGCAGGTTGCTGGCCTGGTGGCCTGGCTGTTCCTGGGTGGGTTTGGGGTTCTGGGGGAGTGTTGCTCCCGGGCTGGGGTCCCGGCTTGATCTGGGGGTCTTGGGTCTTGGCGGGTATGTTGTCAGGGTCTTGGGCCGGTGCATGCACCGGCGCCCGGCCTGGCCTGGGGGCACTTGGTGCGCTGGTGGGCTTTGGGGCCTCTGCCGTGGGGGTGGGGGGGGGGACGGGTGGACTCAGCCTGGGTGTCTTCCTGCCTGGCTGTGGCTGCGGTCTGGTGCTTGGCTGGGGTTCTGGGCTGTGGGGGGCTGTGGGTGGGGGGGCTTTTGCTCAGGTGGCTCTGCACGGGGGTGTCTGGGCGTGTTAGGCATGTGCCCTCCCTTGCATGGGGTGCTCTCATTGTGGGTGTTGCTGTGGTGGACTGGTCGGTACTTTTGTGGGGGTGGGGGTGTGCTCTTGGTCATTGTGGTGCGCTGTCTGTGGCTGTTCAGGCACTCCTGGCTGATTGTCGCTGCTGGAGTTTGGTGGCTTCTTTGGTTGGGGGCCTGGGTGTTGAGCTGGGGATGAGGTTGGGGGTCTGGATGATCTCGGGGTGGCTTGGGTCGCTGGCCTGGGTTCTGGTCGGTCCTCGGGGCTATGTGCCGGTCCGTGGCCTGGGTCCCTGGTGGTGTGGCTGCCTCCTGCTCCTGGATGAATGCATTGGAGCCTCCCTCCCATCACACCACCACTCAAACAGGGCCTTTGGGTTCAGGTGCACTACTGAGCTGCGAGGAGGATCCTCCATCTCCGTGGTTCATGGAGACCTGGGCCCCAATTTTATCAAACAACCTAGACACTCGTATATAACATTCTCACGACACATGCATGTATAGGGTCTGGAGTGGGCACATGGTGGCATATAGGGGGTGGGATGTGTAATCATTCTCACCTCCGGGACCTGTGTCCACTCTAATATGTAGCATGTAGACATTTAGGGTTCTGGGCAAGGGTTGCGGGGGTGAACGGGCACTGCCTGCTCTCTGGGGAGGGGGTGGGTCTGTGCCAGTCGCCACCTCATCCCCCCCATTTTAAATGCACTATATAACAACGTGCATCAACATCTTATTTGAGTGGGGGGAGGGAGGAGTTGGGTCTTCCAGCTTTTCTTAAACCCTCATTCTCCGTCTGACATTTGGGGGCGGGGGGGGTAGGCTGCCTGGTTGGAGTCTGGCCTGTGGGTGGGTATTGGGCCTTTGGGGGCGATTGGGGCTGGGGCTGGTGCTCCGGTTCTCCCTGAATTGTTTGGATCCTTTTATCAGGGTTCCTAGTTCTGATGGCCAGCCCTTTGGCTGGGGTGGCTGCCGGGTTCTGGCGGGAGGTCAGCTGTGGTTGTGTGTGTGTGGTCGTTGGTAGTGCATGGCGGCGGTGGGGGGCATGGCTTCACTTCGACGAAGTGCTGGCTGGTCGCCCTGATGTGACATTCATGGTGCGGGGTGCTGTGTGTGTGTGTCGGGGGGGGTGCATGGGTGGCATGCCGGGGCTTCTCCGGGCCTGTTGTGTGGGGCTTTAGGGATGCATTGGTGCGCTGGGCCGGTCTTCCTCAGCTGCTGCTCCCTGCTGCTCTGGCCCCCGGCCTGGGGCCGGCTTGCGGTCACTGTTGGGCAGGTGGGGCGCATGGACGGCCCGGCAGAGGCTCTGTCGGGCTGTCTCTGTGTGCCTATTTGTCTCAGGTTGGGTTTTGGGTGGCCCCCCTCTCTTAGACCAGTTTTGGCCCCCCATTTGGTGGGTCGTGCTCCCCCCCGGTGGTGGGCCCCCCTGCCGCCGGTGCATTGGCGGCTCTCAGCAGCTGGGGCTGGGTGGTAGGGTGTGTGCAGGCCTGCCCTGGTGGCTGCCTGCGGGGGCTTGGGTGCTGGGAAAATGGAGCGTGAGATCAATAGGTGCAGCGTCATCAGTGAAGTGGGCGATATACCGATCTGTTGTGGTGAAGAGAGAACTGAGTCAAAAGGCGAAGCTCTCAATTTACTGGTCGATCTATGTTCCTACCCTCATCTATGGTCATGAGCTTTGGGTTATGACCGAAAGAACGAGATCTCGGATACAAGCGGTTGAAATAAGTTTTATCCGCAGGGTGTCTGGGCTTTCCCTTAGAGATAAGGTGAGAAGCTCTGTCATCCGGGAAGGACTCAGAGTAGAGCCGCTGCTTCTCCACATCGAGAGGAGCCAGTTGAGGTGGCTCGGGCAACTAGTTAGGATGCCTCCCTGGTGAGGTGTTCCGGGCACGTCCCACCGGGAGGAGACCCAGAGGAAGACCCAGGACACGCTGGAGGGACTATGTTTCTCGGCTGGCCTGGGAACACCTTGGGATTCCCCTGGAGGAGCTGGCCCAAGTGGCTGGGAAGAAGGAAGTCTGGGCCTCCCTACTTAAGCTGTTACCCCTGCGACCTGACCCCGGATAAGCGGAAGAAAATGGATGGATGGATGGATGGATCCGATCTCGGGGATTTTACTCAGGCATGTTCCATTGGTGTGGCCATGTAATTTGGACATTTTGGAAACGTTTGGACCAACACAGACTCGAGGTAGACGTCATTAAGTTCTGCCTGTCCCCAAAACAACTGTTTGTTTATCTGAATTTGGCTCCCCTGGCTGGCCTTGAAGACCACCTTATCTGAGTTCACCTGGAGAACATGTAATCCGACGCTCAGCCCTCCCTCAAGGAATTTCCAACTGATCAACAAGCGGAAACCAGCTGAATAAACATTGTGTCATCATTTCAGGACTCTTGGATTCTCATAGGCGTTGTTCTTGGCCATTCCTCGACATCCCTTGAGAATGTTTACGGATCTCACCAGAGGAAACTGGCTGATTATCCCATCCTTATCAGAACTCTTACAGTGCCCTCGAGAGCGTCCATGAACATTGCTCACCGCTCTCGTCGTCTCCCCCCTCCGCGGAATGTCTACGTCATTATGTGCTTGTTTGTGTGAGGTGTTTTTTAATATCAGAGTTTTTCTTCTCAGCCAAGAAGAAAGAATCTGATAGAATTTTTTTTGCCTCCAATTCCTATATGGGTCCAATTTCACTACTTTTTGT